ATCATAGATAGCCTCATAGTTTCAGGGCAGCCGGGACTCTATTGGGAGACCCTGATGTGTGGGAGGTGAAGGGGTTGGGGGTGAAGGTGTGGGAAGAGTGTGTGCTTTAATCTTCAAAAACTAAATAAAGTTATAAAAGAGTTTATTTTAACAATATATTTGCAATTATCCAAAACCCTTAGGACCTACAAAAATGTTTTCAGAGAAAAGTGTGTGACAGCTTGATACGTCATCCTCCTGACATCTGATTTTTGCTACATGAATGTAAGAATCAGGTTTGCAAAAGCAAACATCTGATCAATTTTCCTAAGTCAGTGAGGTTCAAATCCTTCTCTTTGGAAGCGCTGATCTGGCTGATTTCGTAACCCTTGGCCTATGGCATTTCTTACTGCACTGTTCCTTTGGTTAAGATGAAACACTTTCCCATGCTTTGCTTGAACTTGAGTTTTTGTCTGTGGCTGAGACTCTTTGGAACTTAGAGTTGTCTGGCCTTGGCCTCCAGAGTAGTTAGGATCATAAGCATGAAGCACCACCAGGTCCAGACCTCTCTGCCCCCCACCCTCTCTCTCTCTCTCTCTCTCTCTCTGTGTGTGTGTGTGTGTGTGTGTGTTATGCATTTTGGGTATTTTTATTCACATATATTAAGATGCACGTGTGGCATGTGTGGGCATAAGTGCATATGTGTATATAAGCATGTAGAGGCTGGAGCTGACTTCAGGGAACCTCTAGGATGACTATCCAATTTATTTGTAGAGGTATTGTCCCTTGATGAACCTGGAACCTGTTAATTCTAACTAGTGTAGCTAGCCAGCTGACCCAGAGCACCCTCTGTCCCATCTCTTGCTTCCTGAGTGCTGGGATTACAAGTGGCTGCCATGGTCTGAGGATACAAGGTGAGGTCCTTATGCTTGTATGGGAAGCACTTATGTAGTGAACATCTCCCCAGCCCCTTGAACTCTATTTTACAATATTTAGACCATTCATTTTCCATCTCTATAGTTGTTGCTGTTTGAGTACCCTTAAAACACATACAGATTACCCTTGCAGTTTTTCTCTATCATTTTGTTTTTCCAATTCTGAATGTTTTTTCTTACTTTATAGATACTTTGGATTTCTTATTTCAAAGCCTCCATATTTAACCACAAAACAGATCCAGGAAAGAAAGCTTCTGCATCCACTCATCTTCAGAAAGACCAGAAGAGATATGCGCCTTTGTGGGCATATACACTTGACTTGCATATCAGTGTTTGGGGCCCTTGAGAAAAGATGTTTGGGTGGGCATGGTGGTGCAGGCTGTATTCCCACCATTTGGGAGGATGAGGCAGATGAGGCAGGGAGATTGTAAACTCCGTAGCTAGGCTCCATCTCAAAAGAAAAGTAAGTATGATGGTCTCAGAGCACTTGCTACTTTGAACTAGCCATAGTGGAACAGTGGCTGAATACGAATTTATTGTTCAATAAACTGTGCATGTTCAGTGTTTTATAGATAGTTCATGAGAACCTTGAAATATTCTTATTAATTCAGCTTTGTGATTCATCATTTTGCCTGAGAAGAGAGGTGGTCAGTCCGCAGTGGCTGCGTGGGGATACCCACACAGGCCTGTGCTTTACTGCTCTCGCCTTGCAGTCTGGTGCCTCTGGGGGACTTGCCTCCCCTGGACCCATCTCTGCTTCCCAGTGCCACTCAGTTCTGCTTGCAGTGAAGCCAACCCAGATTCTCTCTGTCCTTCCTCCGCCCCTGCTGTCTTCCTAACATGTTATCCTTGTCAGTTAACCCAAATACAACTTGGGTCCTAAGAAGCAGAGGTGCCAAAGAAAATGAGTCCTGGATCACAAAGGCTTTTAAACTACTTATGTAGTTTGAACTACTTGTAAGTCTGTGCTTAGTCATTCAAAATGTCACCTGATTAATACACACTTAAGGCTCAGCAGAGGCTTAACCACCATTTTCTCCCTGTCTGCTACTCCCCTCTCCTAAGACAGCAACAGCCCTCTCCCTCGACCAACACATTCCTTTTGTGTGTGTGTTGTTTTGTTTTGAGACAGGGTCTCACTATGTAGCCCTGGCTGGCCTGGGACTCCTTATGTAGAACAGGCTGGCATGGAACTCAAAGATCTGTCTGCCTCTGCCTTCTGTGTGCTTGGAATAAAAATGTGAGCCTTGGCCGGGCGGTGGTGGCGCACGCCTTTAATCCCAGCACTCGGGAGGCAGAGCCAGGCGGATCTCTGTGAGTTCGAGGCCAGCCTGGACTACCAAGTGAGTTCCAGGAAAGGCGCAAAGCTACACAGAGAAACCCTGTCTCGAAAAACCAAAAAAAAAAAAAAAAAAAAAAAAATGTGAGCCTTTTGCCCAGGCTCCTCTCCATTCTAGTGTTCTAGTCCCCCTGGTGCTCAACCAGGGCTAATCTAATTTACTCCCCATCTTTCCCCATAAAAGCTATTTTTTCCTTTGATCCTTTGTTCCTTTATTTATTTATTTGGAGACAGTGTCTTGATGTGCAGCCCAGGCTGGCCTTGAACTCATGATCTTCCTTGCTTCGGCCTCCTAAGTGCTGAGATTGACAGGCCTGGCACCACACCCAGCTCCATCTTAGCTGTTTTGTGGGGTAGCTACTATGTGCAAGCACACACACACACACACACACACACACACACACACACACACACACACTTATCTTCATCTATTTTATAGATCCAGCATGGTCAAGGATAGGATAGCACCAGACCTAGACAACAAAGCTCTTTCCCCTGGAAAGCTAGAGGGTTCTTCTGAGAGACAATGGTGCAGATGGTGCAGACCTGCCATCCCAGCTATCTAGGAGGTCAAGGCAGGAGGATCAAAGTTCAAGGCCAAAGCAACAGAGTGGTTTAAGAGCTGCTGGAGAAGTTGACAAGATCTTGTCTCAAAATGAAGTGTGCATGAAATTTTGAGTTTCATTCTCAATACTGCAACCAATCCTCAGAGAGGGAAGCCTCCAGTCTCTGCAGAATTCATGAGATGGAGCTTCCCAGTGAACAGGGATGACTTCTAGGCAGGACAGGAGAAAGCATGCTTAAGGGAGATTCCTATACCTATCTCCTTGGCTCTCTATTGTAACATCTCATTTCTGTGTACATGCTCCTCTTCATTAAATGATGTTAACCTCTGTTCAGCTAGATAGCAGCCCATGTGCTCCCACAGAGCAGATGAGGACAGGTGCCTAGAGGGCAGATCAGGCCTGGCAGCCCCTGTTGGCATTTGCTACTTCTCTAGACAGTGAGCAGCAGCCTCCGGGGCCGAGGTCTTTCACTCCTGTAGTAGCACAATGCTGAAAAGATCATCTTGCATTAACTCTGGGGAGTAATCGTCTAATCACATTCTGGAGTGATTTGAGGCACTTGTGTGGACTGAATTCATCCCACCACCCCAGGAGCAGCTTTATGAGGCAGCAGCCTGGCCCCATCAAGTCTTATTGCTTAATTAAAAACAAATTCCCAAGTAATTTTTTTTGTGTTTTATTTATTTATATATTTTTACTTTGCCATAAAACCAGCCACTCTCATATGCAGAGTCTAGGTTTAAAAAATAACAACATTAAGAAATGGATGTAGAAGAGGGACTATTTATAAAGAGGAAGGAGACTAGTGGGATGGATGTGAGGGGCATGTAAGGATAATGGGGTGAAAATAATCAAAAGGCATAATATAATTTATTAAAATACAGTAATGGGACCCACTCTTTGTTGGGAGAATTCCTTGATGAAATCTCCCAACCTACCTTTGTCCCACAGTAGGTCATAAAGCCCTCTCATTCCACAGCATCCTGTCTCACCCCTGAGGGTAGAGATGCTGCAGAGAGGCCAAGCAAGATGCTAAAGTCCACAAAACTTTCTGTTATTTTTTCCTGAGGAGTTTTGTGCAAGGCTTCTGTCTGCTTCAAATTCTTTTTAAGCCCTGGCATTGTTTCTATTTTTCATTTTAGCCATTTCTGTGGGTCATAAGTAGTATCATGTTAATTAGAGTTTCATCAGTGATTAATGCCACTGATTATTATCTATTGGGATCTTTTGTCCATTTTTTTCTATTGTCTTATCTGTTTTTTCCTTATTATTATTATTTTTGTTTTTCCAGACAGGGTTTCTCTGTGTAGTTTTGGTGCCTATCCTGGAGCTCACTCTGTAGATTAGGCTGGCCTTGAACTCACAGAGATCCGCCTGGCTTTGCCTCCCCTGAGTTCTGGGATTAAAGGTTTGCACCACTGCCACCTGGCTGTTTTTTCCTTATGATTGTGAAAATTTAAAACCTACACCTGGGGCTGGAGAGATGGCTCAGCCGTTAAAGGCTAGGCTCACAACCAAAAATAAAACCTACACCTGGATAAGAGTCATTGGTGTATATATTACTAATATCTATGTAATATCTGTCTTATTCTGTGATATCTTTTCTCTAATTTAGGGCAGTAAGAGTCTTGCCTGGTTTTTGTTTTGATTAATATATATTAAAAGATTTAATTTATGTGTGTGAGTGTTTTGCTGCATGTATGCACCATGGGTGTACCTGGTGCATGCAGAGGCCAGAAAAGGGTGCTAGGACCCCTGGAGACAGGTGGCTATGAGCTGCTATGTGGGTGCTGGGAACTGTCCCCATGTCCTCTGTAAGAGCAGCAAGTGCTGTTAACTGTTGAGCTATCTCTCTAGCCTTATGCTTTATTTTAATAAGAGGCAAGGGACTCATTAAGTAACCCAGACTTCCAAGTAGATGTGCTGCAGACCTGTACTACTGAGCCTAGCAAAGAAGTTTTGTTGTTATTTACTTATTTTCTATTTGTTATTTGGCTCACCATTTAACTCAGGTTGGCCTTGAGCTCACAGCCCTCCTGCTTCAGGCTCCAGAGTGCTGGGGTTACAGATGTGTGTTACCATACTTGCCTAACAAGGTAGTATTGGTTGTATACAAGTTCTTAGTTTTAATGTTGGGTTCTGCATTTTTTAAAGTCAAATTAAAAATACACACAAAGACTATTGGCTGTAATGTGTGTTTTTTATTTCCATACTGTATCATTCCCTGAAGACTCCTTAAAATGACACATAAGGGGCTGGAGAGATGGCTCAGTGGTTAAGAGCACTGTCTGCTTTTGCATATGACCTGGATTAAATTCACAGCATTCACATCAGGTGGCTTATAACCATCATTAACTCTGGTTCCAGGGAATCTGATGCTCTCTTCTGGCCTCTGCAAGCACCAGACATACACACAGACAAGGACATACATGCAGACTGAATGAGAAGTGAAATAAAAGGAGGACATGACTACTAAAGTATAGCTAAGCTTTTTCTTGTAGATATAAGGGAGAAAGTAAGCAGAGGAGAGTTCATGTTGAACATGGCTGGCTGACTAAATAGGACCATGAGAGGAGAGATGGAGAGAGAGCATGTGATGAGCTGCTGACCAAAGCCACCCAGGCCAAGAGACCAAGAGACTGGCATAGCCAAAACTGCTGAGTTACACAAGGATCAGGCTCGAGGAAGGGAAGCAGAAGCCCAGCTGGGAGGGAGTGGTTTAGGACGGGGTGGGGTGAGAAGTGCTGAGAGGAGCCACAGGTACTGAGTAAAGCTTGTCCTGGCTTTGTGACCTAACATTTCAGTCTGTTGTTGATGATAAGGGGTGATGTAATCTCTTCTATAACTGCTTCCTGCTGAAATTGGGGCATTGTTGTCAGGTTCCAGGAAGGCTGGAATAATGGTCAAAGGATGGGAAGAGGGAGGAGTGCAGGCTGTTTGCCTTGCAGCCTGGGGTCTGTGGGATCACCTGGGGCTAAGGAAGCACATGCTGCTTTGGAACAGTCTGTGTTGCAGAGGCTCAGGCTGGTCAGAAATTCAGTCAGAAGCACCTGGGGCTGGCACATTTGGAGCAGTTTGTAGTCTTCAGTTGATTGGAAATATGTTGGGACAGATATAGACTAGGGACAGAAGGTAAAATAAGTAATTCATGAGGAAATTTTTATCTTGGGTATACATTTGTAATTTCCAGGCCCATGGTCAGACAATGGGGAGGGGAGTCCCAAGACCAGGGGAGAATAAAAACAAATCTTAAAATAAATCACACATAATATAATTTCTACTCAAGTCACATTTTCCCAGTTTAAGAACTGGAGTTGAGGCTTCTGGAAATTATTTCATTCCAATGATGAACTAAAGTCATGAAGGAAAAGTGGCATATCTTTACATGACAAGACCCTGTCACATAGGAAGGAGGGTGGCTTATGTGGGAATAACTAGGGATAACTTATTCATAGCACTGAAAAGAAAAGACTTCTCTTCTCTCTTGTTCCAATTCTGACTGTCTTAAGTCTTGCTTCCTGGGACTGCATTTTCTGTAGCAGTGCTGAGCTCAAATGCTTCCCTTCTTAGCTGTGTTCTCTTCCCATTCTTATGAGCACAGCAAAATTAGAGCCAAGTGGCCCAAATCAGCTCTTCAAGGAGTGCAATCAAGAATGAGATCTGAAGCTACTTAAGGAAGAGGCTGAGCCTGGCTCAGGAAGTTGGAGGGTCATTCATTAGCATCTTAAGAAGAACACCCTGGGGAAGAGACTGCAGACCACTGTGGTCATTCAAGGGAAGGCCTTGACTGCTGGCTACTTTGGACACCCATGGGGTGGCAGGACCAAGGTCTCAGAGTGTGGCCATCAGCCTTCTTTGCAGCTGAACTTCTTGTAGCCACTTTTTTAAAAAAATTTATTTTTACTATTTATGTATGTATGCATGTATGTATGTATGTATTTGTTGGCCTAAAACTCCCCTGCTAATGTGTGACCTGTCAGTTTGTGGGGAAAGCAATGGCTTCGGCACTAGAAACCTGGGTTCAAATCTCTGTGTTTCCATCTTGCCTGCTGAAGGCAAGTCCCCCAGGCTCCTATGCACACTTGGACATTGGTAATTGTTGAAGTTCAAAGGGGTCCTTGGAAAGCACTCAGTGCCAGCCCACTTCCAAAAAATTGAAGTTCAACAACCATCTCTGCATCTGCTTACCTGAGGGCATCCTCCTGGACTCCATGACATCTGTGTCCACTTGTGTGGTGATCCAGGGAGCCAGCTGGCATCTTCTGGATCAACCACCAACTGCCCTTGGTGGATATACTGCCTTCTTCCATCTGGTGAGATGTTGTGAAATACTTTACACTGTGTGAAGGTATATTACAGTGATTGGTGTAATAAAAAACTGAATGGCCAATAGGTAGGCAGGAGGTATAGGTAAGACTTTGGAGACAGACAGGACTCTGGGAAGATGAAAGGCAGAGTGGTCAGTCAGACATGGAGAAGAGACAGGAGGTGCAAGATGGAAGAGAGGTTATGCCACATGGTAAATTTAATATAAATGGATTAATTTAAGTTATAAGAGCTATTTGAAATAAGCCTAAGCTATAGGCCAAGCTTTCAAAATTATTAAGAAGTCTGTTAATGTTGTGAAATGGCACATGAGAGGCCTTGGTGAGTTTGGACCAAGGTGCCCCACAGTAGGTGAGACATGCCATGTAGGCACGGTGGACAGTGTCGAGTTGTGGTGGAAAGTTACTCACACAGCAGACACAACATACACGTAGCAAGTTTTATTATTAAAGGAACAGAGGAAAGAGGAGAGAGAGAGAGAGAGAGAGAGAGAGAGAGAGAGAGAGAGAGAGAGAGACAGACAGAGACAGAGAGAGACAGAGACAGAGAGACAGAGAGACAGAGAGAGAGAGACAGAGAGAGAGAAGAAGGAGGAGTTTTTCTTAAAGGGAACTTAGGATGGCATCAGGATGCTGGGCAGGTCCCCAAGGGGCGGGTCAGAATACTAACATCCCTCCATTTTGGTTATAATAAAAGGTGAGTTATGGATAGCAAGTTGGGGGAATGAGGGCACCAAATTTTCCAGCTGCTTCCTGCTCACAAGGGGTGAAGTGGGGAGGGGGAAATTGGGAGTCATGTACAGTGGGAGGTTTGAGTGAAGAAGCATTCTTTTAGCTGTTATTGTGGAGATCTCAAGTGTGGAGATCTCAGGCATCTGTTCTTTGAGGGAGATGAGAAGACAGGTTTCAGAAGTGATGTTTCAGGCACTTGGGGGAATGGCATGCCAAATCAGGAGTACAGGAGCCATCACATCTGCTGTTTCTCTGTAGGTGGAAATGTCTCTATTCATCCTGTAAAAAGTGTCAACGAATTAGGAGATAACAGAGTTTATGAGTGGCCATGTGGGTGAAGTTAACCTGTCAGTATTCGACTGGTTGGCATCCTCTGTTGGTGGTTGGCATTCTCGGAGCTGGTGCAGGATTACCATATCTGAAGGACTTTCTTTTGATTGGCCTTGGCAGGAGTCTGGCAGGAGAAGTGAAACTGCAAAATATGCTCAAAAATGGGTGGGGTCAAAATGGGCTCTGGAGACTGTCAGTTTTCATCAGACCAGATTTCTTGATACAGTAGCAGAAATATTTCCAGGAACCTGCAGGTGTCTGTAAGATAGCTGGAACAAATTTTCATCTTGGTGTCACAGCAAAAGGCTTTGGATTAAAAGGTATGACTATTTCATGGCTTCAGCCCAATAAAATATATCTTTAAATGTATAACCAGAGGAAATTTACTGAATGGAAGTGGTTGAACGAGTGAAGAAGGAGGGAGGCTTCCCTAAACATCATCAGATCTGAGAAGGATATGTAAGTGAACAAAAGTGAGACAGCTTTCTTATCTTCATATAAACAAACCTTAAAGCTGTTTCTTTTATCTAATTCTCCAGGAGATACTGAGAGAAGTCATTGTAAAAAGTTACATTGAAATCTGTTCTGTGAGTTTATCTGATCTGGTAACAAGGAAAATTGTGTCTAGACTTAGTAGTAGCCACAGGAGAGGGAGACCTGTGAATTCTATATAGAGAACTGAGAAGGCCACTGAAGCAAAGCCTGGTCATCAAATGTAATCAGAGATCTGAGAAGAACAAATTATAACTGAGTACAGGCCAAGCAGCTTTCAACTCTATTAAAAATTATAGGGACCAGTCCACACCATCTAGCCACATTCACGTCTCCACATCTTTGGAGGCAGAAGCATCAGAACAGCATCAATCTTTGGCCACCAGGCCGATAAGGTGGGAGTTTTTCTCGTGGAAGAGGGAGGGAAGCCTGATCTTATTTTGTCTAGGCAAAAAGGGTGTAATCAATTCTCCAATGTCCTGCTGTTTGTCCACAGTCTGGGCCAGGTCCTGGTGGCATTGGGCCATCTTGCCCAGAGGTCAGCATTGCCATAATCCAGGTGGAGATACTGCTGTGCCTCATAATGTTCTTCAGAGACCTTGGGTCACTGTTAGGATCTGGGAGTCTCTGTCTGATATAATAAGCTCTTTGATCAACATTTTTCTTTTCTTTTTTTGAGCTGAGGATCGAACCCAGGGCCTTGAGCTTGGTAAGCAAGCACTCTACCACTGAGCTAAGTCCCCAACCCCTTTGATCAACATTTTAAGTGCCATATTACACAGATCTCTGAGCATTTGAGGACTGCCTGTCTATTAGGTACAAATGGCTGACTATCAGCTTACAGTTTCTGATATGTTAGTACCTCCATAAGACTAGGACTTACTGTCTCCTGAGAAGGCAAAGAAGAGTGACAGGGTAAAGATCCTGGGGCCACATGGGAACAGGAGAAAAGAGGCTTGTGAGTCAGGGTGTGGCCCAGCTGTGAGAAAAGGATCCTCTGAGAAAAGGACCCTATTGGGACACCAGAAACTCCATCATTTATCAGATACCCCATTTATCAAACATATGACATCATTTAAATTTTCTAGAAGAAATAGGTGTAAATCTCTAAGTTAGCTGTTGTTAATCTGCATAGATCTTTATAAATTTAAATTTATATTATCATATAGAGTATAGTATAAACCAGTGTTGAATCAAATATAGCTTTACATCTCTATCATCATACAAAAAGTCCATACCAATCCAAATATTTGAGGCTTGTTGCTTCCTAACTCTAGAAGGAGATAAAATGAACAGAGAGGTCATCAAGACTAACTGTATTTTTAATCTTAGTAAGCCTTAGTAAAACATGGCTGTCAGCCATGTGGCTCTCTGCATCATGATGAAGTCATCAGCCAAGATGGAGGAGAGCCATGTGGTTGCTGCTCAAAACACTTTTTTTCCCAAATAGGTAAATCTAAGTCATAAGGAAGGGAGAAGGAAGAAAGTGGAGAATTTTTTCTCAGTTCCCCAGTTGTCTGGCCCAAGAAATACTGAGGCCAGTCTCACATCAAGGGAGATGGTCAGAAGCAGGTAGGTCTTCCAGAGACTTGAGTGGTGGTATTGAATGGAAGGTAAAGCTATTGGGGACTATGTGGGTCCCAGTGTCTGGGAAGAATCTACAACCAGCTGATATATTAATCTTTGATGAAAAGAAATGAATCTATGTACACAAAACTCCTTAGTCCATACACTTTATTATTTTGTGTCAGTTCTCTCTCTACAAGCTTCTAATCTGCTCTCATGCCTATCTCCTTTCTTGCCTGATTTCTCTCTATGTTTATCTGCTGTCCCCTCTAAGTTCTATCTTAATTCTCTCATCTTAGTTCTGCCCCATCTAGGTTCTCATCCATCTAGTTCTTTCTCATCTTAGTTCCTCTCCCATCTCCTTCTCTTTCATCCTGTTCTTCCTCATCTGGCTCTTCCTCATCTTCCATCTTGTTCCTTTAGTACTCTCTTCTAGCCCTTCAATCTAGTTCTTTCCCATCTAGTTCGTTCCTCTCCAGTTCTTACCCATCTAGTTCTTTACAGCAGGAATCTTAAAAAGTTCTTATTAATAAAATCAAACCTGAGGCCAGTTATTGGGGTGAATGCTGGAAGATCAGAGAAGCAGAACAAGCCACAGCTACCTCACCTTGCCAATTCCTCAGCTGATCCTGTTTCCTCAGACTGGATGCCTCTGAGTCCTCATCCAGAATGAATCTCAGCTGAACTGCTGCTGGAAAGCCTGAAAGCTTAACCAGCCAAATGCTTCTAGTTTCTGGTCCTCACACCTTATATATCTTTCTGGGATTAAAGGCGTGAGTCACCATACCTGGCTGTTTCCAATGTGGCCTTGAACTCACAGAGATCCAGAGGGATTTCTGCTTCTGGAATGCTAGAATTAAAGGTGTGTGCTACCACTGCCTAACCTCTATGTTTAATTTTGTGGCTGTTCTCTTCTCTGACCTCAGATAAGTTTATTAGCATGCACAATATTTTGGGGAACACAATGCCACCACAGTTCTTCCATTCTCTTTTCTCTTCTCTGTCTCCTCCTCAAGTTCTCTAGTCAAAACCCTCCTTCTCCCTTTCAGTTCTCAGTCCTCAAGTTCTCTAGAGTATTCAATTATAAATCCAAGCAATAGCAATCCTCCCACTCCAGCTAGGTCACCAGGCTTGAATTCCTACAGGGTCATAAAGGCAGGTAAGAATTTTGTTCAGGCAGTGACCATCAGGCTTTCTTTTAAACCTGAAAATGGAGTGGTTAAAGGAGGAGGTCAATTGAGAGCTAATGATTGGTTAGTATATCAAGAAGGGGATCTTTGTGCTCAGTCTACATTCCTAGAAGTAGTTAGGTAAGAAGTTAGGAGTCTATAATGTTAGTAATAGAAATGGAGGGTCTCAGATTGTACAAGAAATAAAGCTATCCACCTGACCTAGGGAACAGGCGTCATTTCCAAAAGGGTGTTACCTTAGGTCAGGAGATCATTTGGCCTTAGGTGCTTGTTAGGTATTTTAGATAAATTCACTATTAGGAGTTCTTGGGAGCACACAAGAAAATCATTTTAGGAACCAGATAATATATATATATATATATATATATATATATATATATATATATATATATATATATATATATATAAAAGCTAAAATATCACCAAGATTTCTTAAGCCATGGCTTGACCTTTGGGAAAGTCCTTGACTTTTCCAAGTAGTAGCTTTTGTGATAGTAGCTGAGTTCCATTACATTTTCCTGTGGCTTGCAGCACAAAGCCACTGGTGAAGGAAAAAGCAGACTTGTTACAGGCAGGAGGGAGCAGATCTGCCATGGGTGGAGGCAAGTAAGTGGGTACATTTGGCGGGTCCTGCCAAGGTATGTCACCAAGCAAACCCCCAACGCACAGCAGAAGTAGTGGAAGAGGTTTGAGGGAGGAGGAAAGGAAAAGAGTGAAAGACAGAGTCAGAGTGAGGGCTTGGGAGGGGCAGGCCCTGATCGCTCACCTTAGCCAGAAATGTAAAAATACAGCACAGGCACAGTTCCCATGGATAAGAGGGGAAAAAAGACTCACTACAGCCTGTAACCATGGGCATCCCCAGGGCTAAAGGAAGGGCAGTCACCACACTCAACAGGGGTTGGGCTAAGCCAGAGGAGTCTTGGCACCTAGTACTAGGATTTTCAAGGAGGCCAGCAAGAATGAAAACCAAGCTCTGAGAAATGGGTGGGTCCCCAAGGGGAGGGTCAGAATACTAACAAAGTCTCCATGTCATTATTTGGGAGCTGCCTGGTGTGACAGAACAACTTGTTACAATGAGATCACTGCAGAGGGGTCATTGGAGTGATCAGTGCTTTGGGTACATCATATACCTTTCCAGAATACTTCTTGAGGTCCAGTTTCTGTGGCCTGCAGTAACCAGCTTGACAGCACCCCTTCTTCTCTCATCTCCCCTCTATAATTGATACGACAAAACACTCTGTCCAAAAGCAACTTAAAGAGGAAAGGATTTATTTGCCTTACATATCTAGGTCACAGTCCAATAGTGAGGGTGGTCAGGGCAGGAACTCCAGCAGGAGGTTGAAGCAGAAACCATGGAGGAATGCTACTTGTTGTATCACTCACAGGCTCTCCCTTAGCTAGCTTTCCTATACAACACAGGGCCACTCACTTAGGAATGGTATTGCCCACAGTAGGCTGGGTCCTCCTGCATTAAGTGATAGTCAAAACAATCCCCTAAAGATAAGCCCATAGGCCAAAGTGATCTAGGCAATTTCTCAATTGAAGCATTCCTCTCAGAATTCCTCAAGTCTGTGTCAAATTGACAATTAAATTAAAGTTAACTAGGACCATGTCCCAGGCCCTTGTCTGGCACTATTGAAAAAGAGATATCCTTTACCCTGGGAAGCTGAGCTGTTCAAAATGCTTCCCAGGATCAACTGG